AAAATCAGTGCTTTCACTTTGCATCCGCTTACATTATAGAATCTTCAGTCGGGCTTAAATAATTGCTAGACCTCCCAATTAAGCCCCTGGTGTTAATTCATTCTATTACATCCTCTGAGGTAGGATGCAAGGGGTGTGTGTGTGTGTGCGTGTGTGCGTGTGTGCGTGTGTGCGTGTGTGCGCGTGCGCGCGCGTGCGTGCGTGTGTGCGTGCATGCGTGTGTGTGTGTCCCTACCTAACTGTTCTAATCCTGCTTTCTCAAAGATAAAATGCAGATGATAATGATCTGAGGATAAAATCAGATGATGTATATAAAGTACTTATGGTGCATTTAAAAAAAAAAAAAAAACCCAAACCCGTTGCCATCTGTTGCAACTCATAGCGACCCTATAGGAGTAGAACTGCCCCACAGGGTTCAAGGAGCAGCTGGTGGATTTGAACTGCCGACCTTTTAGTTAACAGCTGATCTCTTAACCACTGCACCACCAGGGCTCCAAGTAAAGCCAAAACCAAGCCCATTGCCATCAGGTTGATTACTACTCATGGTGACCCCATGTATTATAGAGTAGAACTGATCCATAGGATTTTCTCAGCTGCAGTCTTTACAGAAGCAGATTGCCAGGCCTTTCTTTCATGGTGCTGTTGGGAGGGTTTAAACCACCAACCTTTAGGTTAGCAGTTGAGCGCAAACCATCTGCGCCACCCAGGGACCTGGTATATAGTAAGGGCTTAGTAAATGGGAGTGATTTTGTATTGCTATGATTACTGTCTTGTTCTTGAGTGGAGCATAAATGAATACCATGCAATTTATTAACTAGAAGGTAGATCTTCCAATAAAGAACAGGAAAATGAGATGCCAGCGGGTAAGCCATACCTTATTTGGTTAGTATTTGGTTAATATTACTCTATATTGTTTATTTCTCGTTGTTATATTCTCACCTTTGAAGGTAAAGCCATATAAGGATAGTAATTGAGACTGCAGGCTCTGTAGAGCACATTTGTAACCTCAGTCTCCTGAATTTTGCTAAATATTCCAGTTCCATCTTCCCATTCTTTCTATTCCAGTCATCACTGCTAGTGATAAAAACTAACATGTATTGAATGTCTCCTGGGTGCCAAGCGCTGTTCTAAGTACTTTACAAATATTAAATCATTTAACTCTCACGGCCCTAGGAGGTAGGTACCATTACTGCATACCTCCATGTGTACAGATAAAAGAACTGAGACACCAAAAAAAAAACAAAAAACCAATGCTGTCGAGTCGATTCTGACTCATAGTGATGCTACAGGACAGAGTAGAACTGCCCCATAAGGTTTCCAGGGAGCACCTGGTGGATTCGAACCACCAACCTTTCAGTTAGCAGCTGTAGCTCTTAACCACTATGCCACTAGGGTTTCCTGCTGGGACACAGAGAGTTTAAAATAACTCGCCCTAGAATGACACAGCTGGTAAATGGTGGAGCTGGGATTCAATCCCAGGCAAGCTGGCTACAGAGTTTGCACTCTTAAACACTTCTTCCTAATTCCAGTTGAGGCCGTAAGATTGGGTTTAAACTGTCACAGCTTTTCTGCGGTGCAGTTAGTAAAAAAAAAAAAGGTGCGATCAATATCCCAGCGACCCCACAGGACAGAGAACTGCCCCATAGGGTTTCCAAGGAGCGGCTGGTGGATTCAAACTGCCGACCTTTCGGTTAGCAGCTGAGTTCTTAACCACCGCACCACCAGGCTCCAGGAATTCATTAGTGCTCAGTAATGTGGGCTGGGCATCTGGGTTTCACATTCCACCTTCAGCTACCAGCCATTAAAGATTTTCAGGTAGGTTCCTGAAAACAGTGGAGACAGTGATCATATAATCTTGATTTAGCTATAATGTTAATCATTAAAATACAGTGTTTGAGAGTCAGGTTTTTGGGTGCTTATACCCAAAGGAGGAAGAGTTTTTGTATTAAGATGTCTAAGATATTCTCACATGCTTAGCAAGAAAGCTAAATTAAGCACTGCATTGGGTAAAATTATAAACATGCTGTCTGGTTCAGATGACCAAGTGTATATAAATAGAACAGTTGGTATACATGGCCTTAATATTGCTTCTTTCTTTTTTTTTCCTATGTAATGTAAATCACCAAATGTGAGCCTTTCCATCTGACATAAACTGTCAGTCTCAGAAGAGCACATTATAAGATTCAATACATGTTTCACAACAACCAAGATTGCCCTTTTCTTCAGCATGATGATTTTTTTTTTTTCCCTTTCCATATCCAGCGGTTAGTACTAAGGCCTGAAACCCTTAGTTACAGAACAAAGTGGCTAAGGAGTAATCGAGCCTGTGTGAGGCTAAGAGAAGAATAATGAACATTCCCGGCAAGCTTCCTGCCTAGATGCAGGTGCAGGAATCAGGAGGTCATGAATAATGCATGACATGCAGATGAGGTGGTGGTTTCTCCTACTGGGGTTTGACTTTGCTACCTGCCTGGCTGCAAAAAGCAGAGGAAGCTATATGTGGAAAGAAGGTAGGAGATGTTAAAAAGGGTCACAATTTAAAGACCGAGCTCACAAAGACACTGCATGTCTTTCTGAAGAAGTAAAGACTTTTTGGTGGCTGGAATGCAAACCAATTATTTCTGGTCTACTTTATCCGATGGAGAAAGCTCCATGTTGTCAATTTACTCACCTTGGGAAGAGGAAAAAAAAACAAAATTCTTTCTTTTTAAATTGAGAAACATTACTTTGATTTGGGGAATAAAATATTACTCAGTAATTTTTGAAGACTGCTAAAGCATTGTAGAAATTATCTACTTATAGTATTTGATGTATGGATCAATAAAATTTTGCTAAAGATACAAATACCTGGTGAATATGGTAATAATAGATTAAACAGGCCCATTTTTCTCCACTGATGAATCCAGTGATCAGCATTTGCTAGTTTATAACTGTCAAAAAGAGAACACTGTATCATCAAACTCCACTTCTATCATCAAACTCCACCTGGTGGAAATACCGTGATGAATAGAAACCCAGTTTCACTGTACTTCTGAGTTAAGGAGGGGGGCAATGGAAGAGGTAGATATTTAAAGGTTTTAGAGTGAGTTAAAGAAGAAATGTGAGTATTTGGGGCTGGTTACTCCTTAAAATCTTATTTAGGCAGTAGGACTCTGATACCCAAGTCGGGGTGTAGGGAAGGGTCAGGAGGATTTCCTACATTTTCCCTTAGGTCAGGAGGAGAAATATTTCTGGCTCAGATATCTACTTTGAGGATTATGTTTCAAGCATACGGGCAGAAAGAAGGAAAAAAAGAAAAGAAAGCAGTGAGTCTGGCTACCTTTTGCATTATTCGTTTGCCTTTTCATTGCATATTTTCTCTCTCTCCCCAATTTGGGATACTGGAGTATGAGCTGGCTTTCATTTCTAGCTGAGTCTGTCATTTCCGCTAGGCCCCAGCTTGGCCGGATGCCAAGATCAACAGGTGATCCTTGTAGCTGCAAAACAGCAGGAAGTGGGCCGTGCTTGAATGAGACAGTTCACCAGAGGGGTTGTCTGGCCTCTCTCCATCTTTCTGCATAATTAACACCCCCTCCCCCATGCTGAGCAGAAAATCTGTGCTGAGCGGCTCAGCTGCAGCAGCCATTGAGAAGCGCTGTGAGGAAAAGAATGTTAATAAGGGGCGGTGGAAGAAATAAGCCTTCCGAGTGCAAAGTGCACTCTAGCTCTGGATTTACAGAAAGGCTGAGGTTGGCCCTTCTGAGGAACTGGAATTGTATTATCTGTTTTGAAATGATTTTCAATCGCTAATGGCTGTGGAGGAGCCTGGTGGCACAGTGGTTAAGTGTTCGGCTGCTAACTAAAAGGTGGGCAGTTGGAATCCACCAGCCACTTCTTGGAAACTCTATGGGGCAGTTCTACTCTGTCCTATAGGGTCGTTAGAAGTCGGAATCGACTCGACGGCAGTGGGGTTGGGTTTTGTTTTTTTTTTGAATGGCTATGAAGGACTGAGGTTTTAATGAACCTTGGAGCTATTGGTTCTAATTTGACTTTAAGCCTAGTTTAAAATCCCTTTCTTTTTTCTTTCTTGTGTTGTAAATAAGATAATGTCTGCGGCATGAAGAATAAAAAAAAACACAAGCTAGAAGACTGCCTAGGTCTCATAAATCCTACTTAGACCACAGCAGAAAGTTGGCAGCAGGGATGCAGGAGGTGGGGGCATATTCTTTTGCCACGTAGCAACCACAAAGAGGTGGAGGTTCAGCAGCTAGCCCCCGAATGGAAGATATCAGCAGTTATGGAAGCCTTAAAACTATTTCCAGTGGATGATCCCAAACTTGGAAGCTTGAAAACAGTACATTCTTCACTTCTCCAAATGATCTAGTTAAAGTTTTGAATTAGCTTCACCTTTCTCAAAACCCAGCTGTAGAGAATCACTTCTAGAAGGTCTTTCTGCTTAGAAATACTTGCTCACCCTTCCTTCCTCTCCACTCCTACAATTCTCTTCTGTGCATTTAGATAAAGTTATCTTGCTTCCTAGCATTTTAAGTCTAGGAGTTGCTGGGTGAGTATGCATTTAGACTGTCTCTTTGTGCCCCCTTAGCACTGCCCACCCCCCAGGGTGGACCTAGTACTAAGAGGGCTCCTGGAGGGTCAGCACCACACCTTATATAACTCTTAACCACCCTTATAGCTGGTAGAAATTAAGTATTCAGTAACTATCTGTTGGAAAGAATGAATCAATCAACCAATAAAAAACAGTGGTCTTGCCTTTGGGGGTGTTCACAAAGAATGTTGTGGAAAACGTGCCTTACCTTAATAGTGGTAAAGAAGGAAAGACAGACTGCAGGTTTGCAGGCATAGGAATTTAATTGTATCCATTTACTAGGAGGCAATCAAGTTCAGGTGGGTTTTATATCAAGGAAATCTCATGATTGCTTTATTAACCAGAGACCATTTTTTTTCATTTGCAATTGGGAATATGCTTTTTCAGTGACTGGATTCCTCTCATCTGCCTACAGGGTACATCAATCCCCAGTATCGAGGGTCCGTGGAAATCGAATGAATAATCAGAAATTTGCTTGGTGAGTGTACAGTCTAAGTTGTGAATATTAGAAAGTCTTAGGGGAAATTTTAATAGGGCTGTGTTAAAACTAAGAAAATTATTCTTGCTTTTCTATAGTGAATAAATTTCTTGTCTGGAATGTGTACTCTCCTTTTCCTTGGGACAGTTCTGAATAAATACTGATAGAGTCACTTTCCAGCAAAAACTCTTCTCTCTCAAGAAACTGAATGTGACAATTTTTCCTGATAGATATGCAATATTTTCTGTAATTATCAACTGTTACATTTTTAGAAAATGTTCTTTCTATTGAAGATTCTGTAGGCTTTTTAGTGAGATCTAGATAACAGCCTAGATTTTTTTCAAATATCAGCTCCAATTTCTCATGAAGATTTTCACAGTTAACTAATCTATATTATATTAATTTTGTTGATTACTACTTAGATACTTTTTTATGAGTCAGAATCAACTCCACAGCAAGGGATTTGGTTTTTTTTTTTTTTTTTTTTTTGTCTGTTTTTAAATTGCCTTAAGTATCTAGGGGTTTTGTTTGCTTTTAATTTGGGCCATACTAAAATCTTCCTTTACTGACTCTGGTTCTTAAATTAAGAATATAGTTGTCATGTCAGAAATAACCTAAGTAGTTATTTCAGCCACAAAACTTTGACTATTGATTCTTTGAAGAAGCAGCTTAAAGTGACAAATTTTTCATGTTCACCATAAATGTATACTCAAACACTTATTTGTATTACTCCATTCCACAAATACAACTTTTTGACATGTAGTGTATCTGCAAAAAGAGGAGGAAAAAAGAAAAAATGGAACTACCACGTTACTTGAGAGATGAATGAAAATTCACAATCTCCATTTTTCTTCACTGAATTGCACTTAAATGAGATTTTGATTAAAAACTATTACTTTTTTTTGAGAATGGGAAGATGATTGTCACAGACTGAGCTTCCCAATTAATTTTATACCTATAAGTTTCAGGTTTATTTTTAGATACAAAATAATGATACTTTGAATTTGAATAGTGCCAGATCAGCTCACCTCCCTTTCTCTGTTAAATCTAATTAACCCTCACAATAGCTTGGAGTTGTTGTTAAATATTATGCTTTTCTTCTTCACAGAAAGGGAAAGGGAACACGGAGGATATAGCTATTTGCTTACACACTGCCTCCAAACTGGGCAGCCCTCATGGTTTCTCACAATCACCTTGCATATTGTCCCCTGTCAGACCTGGAAAGGTGAGAGCATAATGATGCTGATGGTCATTATGTGAAGAAACGGAGAAAATCAGACTCATTCATTGACCACATGGACTGTATATTCCTTCTCAGCACAAGGCACACTGTGCGAAAGAAACTTCATTACAGAGAATATGAAATGCTCAAGTGAACAGCTTGAGCTAATGGATAGAGTACAGAATTGTCAGTCATGAGATTCTGTTCCTTCGGCTTCTTTCTCAGTGCTTAATGGTGAAACACAGCAAATAACAAATTCTCTTTTTTTCACTTTTCCTTTACCGAGGATTGGAGTAAGGATAACGTTTCTACATAATTCATAGCACATTATTTGGTTAGTAAGTTTAAACCAGTTTTATCTCCAGAGGAATAATCTATGACAAACAAAAAGGGTTTACTACTAGCCTTGAGATTATTCAGCTTTTATTTATTCAGCAACATTTGTTTTTTACAGTCCCAAGCACTGTAAAAAGCAAAAGCACTAGATTAGAAAGATAAATACAACATGGCTTCTGTTCTCAAGGGGCTCACTATCTTGAGGAGAGAGGTGTGTGCACACACACATATATATAATTCTATATATCACATACAGATATAATATCACACAAACACATATATAGTAAAGTGTGGATAATGATCTAAAGAGATATATTTATAGTATAATGTTCAGAAGGAGACGTTAAGAAGTATAATCCCAGTTTGAGGTGGGTAGGTAAGGAAGGGGGAAGGTATAAAGGAGGGAAGGGAACTGTCAAAATACCCATCCCAGAGAAGAAGATTTTGAGTACAGATCTAGAATTAGTAGGAGATCATTAACTGGAGAGTTGAGATAATAGTTTCCTTATACACTGACCTGGAGATATTTCTGATTAACTTCAGTAGGAACATACATGGATTTAATATGTGTACTTTATTTGGTCATAAGTCAGCTAAAATTTCTATTAGGTATACTAATGTGAATCATAAGTAAATACTGTGAAGCTGGTGTATGGAATTACGTTAAATCACCTGCCTGGGAGTAATTCCAGTGAGTCACCCACCATCTGTATCTAGTAAAGTGATAAACACGATTTATTTGTGAAACATTGGCCTCGAAAATTCAGAAAGTGCAGATAACCGTGCTAGCAATAGAGAGGAAAGGAAAGTGATGGTTGCCTTCCCAAAAATAGACGTTTAAGATAATTTGTAAAATTAGATACCAAGTTCAACACTAGCTTGGCTCTCTAACATGAGTTAGATCTACAGACATTATATGTGGGCATTAGAATGGTGGATAAGTTGGGTTAACAAGTGCTCCAATCAGTTAAAATTTGTTCAGGTGAGAGATTTAACCTCAGCAAAAGATAAAAAGACTTGAATTTTTACCATGAAGTTATGTATAGGAAATACATGACATTTGTAGGTTGTGAATGTCAACAGTAGTGGTAGAGCTACCAGACCAGTCTTTATTATTGAATAAGGAAGGTTTAAAACTCTTCAGGAGCATTTTTCTTAGAATAATGTTAAAATGGGGGGAGACATCAGCTGGCCTTACTCACGTGGCAGTATTTCCTCTGTTGTTGTTAGGTGCCATCGAGTTGGTTCTGACTCATAGCAGCTCTCCATAGAACAGAACAAAACACTTCCCAATCTTGTACCATCCTCAGATACTTTGGCCATGTTATCAGGAGAGACCATTCCCTGGAGAAGGACATCCTACTTGGTAACATAGAGGGTTAGTGAAAAAGAAGAAGACTCTCAGTGAGATGAATTGACACAGTGGCTGCAACAGTGATCTCAAACATAGCCAGGAAGCTGTCTTCCAAATTTCTTGGCATAGACGAGTGAGCGCTTCTGGCATTGCATCTGTTTGTTGAAACATCTCAATTGGTATTCTATCAATTCCTGGATTCTGGTTCTTTGCCAACGCCTTCAGTGAAGCTTGGACTTCTTCCTTCAATACCATTGCTCTTGATCATATACTACCTTCTGAAGTGGTTAAACATCGACCAATTCTTTTTGGTACAGTGTCTCTGTGTATTACTACCATCTTCTTTTGATGCTTCCTGGATCGTTCAATATTTTGTCCATAGAATCCTTCAGTTGCAACCTGAGGCTTAAATTTTTTCTTCAGTTCTTTCAGCTTGAGAAATGCTGAGCGTGTTCCTCCCTTTTGGTTTTCTAACTCCTGGTCTTTGCACATTTCATTATAATGCTTTGCTTTGTCTTCTTGTGCTGCCATTTGAAATCTTCTGTTCAACTCTTTTACTTCATCATTTATTCCATTCACTTTAGCTACTCTATGTTTAAGAGTCAGTTTCAGACTCTTTTTTGACATCCCTTTTGTTCTTTTCTTTCTTTCTTGTCTTATTATGACCTTTTGCTTTTTTCATGTATTTTGTCTTTAATGTCATCCCATAACTTGTCTGATTCTTGAGATGGTCTCTAAATTCAAGTGGAGTATACTTAAGGTTGTACTTTGACTGTTTTGGACTTGTTTTATTTTCCTTCAGCTTCAGCTTGAACTTGCATCATCTCTTTCCACGGATGTAGTTGATTTGATTTCTGTGTATTCCATCGGGTGAGGTACACATGTATAGTCACTGTCCATGTTGTTGAAAAAGAATAGGTCATTGGTCTTACAAAATTCTGTCATGAGCCCTCCATTGTCGTTTTAATCACAAGGCCATGTTTTCCAACTATTGATCCTTCTTTGTTTCCAACTTCCACATTCCAATCACCAGCAATTATCAATGCATCTTGATTGCATGTTCGATCAATTTCAGACTGCAGAAGTTGTTAAAAATCTTCAATTTCTTCATCTTTGGCCTTAGTGGTTGGTGCGTAAATTTGAATAATAGTTGTAGTAGCTCGTCTTACTTGTGGGCGTATGGACATTTATCCTCTCACTCACAGCATTACACTTCACGATAGATTTTGAAATGTTCTTTTCGACAATGATTGCGATGCCAGTCCTCTTCAATTTGTCATTTCTGGCATAGTAGACCATATGATTGTCTGTTTCAGAATGGCCAATCCCAGTCCATTTCAGCTCACTAATGCCTAGGATATCTATCTTCAATCGTTCATTTCATTTTTGACAACTTCCGGTTTTCCTAGATTCATACTTCATACATTCCACATTCAGATTGTTAGTGGAGCTGAAGAAATGTGTGGAAAAGAATGGCTGTTCAGTGCAGAAAAAACCTGCTGGAATGGAAGGAAGTTGTGGTGAAAAATATACATATCCAGGGAGGAGATCAGATCACCAGGCCTTAACCCAACCCATAGTCTTTGAGTCGATTCCGACCCACAGCGACCCTATAAGACAGAGTAGAAGTTCCCCATAGGGTTTCCAAGGCTGTAATATTTACAGAAACAGACTACCACATCTTTCTCTCCCAGAGTGCCTGGTAGGCTCAAACTGCTGACTTTTTGGTTATAGGCCAAGCCCTTAACCACTATGCCACTAGGGCTCCTCCACCAGGCCTTAAGTGATCCTGATATGGAGCCGGATTTGTTATAACTATCTGCTAACTCCCAGGAATTAAAGAAGGGCAGTAAGACCTTCTTGCAGGATAGATTTGCAAGTGAATAAAGAATATCAGATCATTGTAAAACTCAGGTAATTTTCGATTAATCAATGGTAGTAATCCAGGCCAGACGTAAACTGTGTTTGTAAGGACCCCTCTCCCCTCGGTGCAGGTTGGAGGATTCTTGAAGCCTTTGCAGTCCAACCGTGTCGATTTTATTTTGTATTTTATATATCAAGTCTCCCCTCTTTCCCTTGCCATTTGAC